TTAACACCTTGCTGGCAGCTGTGTGGCCTCTGTCCCCTGCTGCTGCGTGTCTGTTGACATCATCATGCTGGGTTAGCAATGATGATGTCACCAGAAATCAGGGAAGGAAACAATGGAGAGCAACATGGAAGGAAGCCAGGGCGTAGTCAGTGTGCTTTATTGTTTCTCTCTATCATCTGTCTGAATCCCCCTCACCAGAGCTGCCCCATGTTTATTGAATGTAAACAGAGGTGTTTCTGCTTGTTAGATCAAAAGCCACTGGTGCGGTGTGTTGATGTCCCTACGTCGCGTTCAATGGTATCACGTATATTGTAATAAAATCATGCCGCTGAAGTTCCCACAGCATGCCGATCAGAGCCGAGAAGATTTAACGGGGGGTCACTTGGATGAAGCCAGTGGGCTGCCAACAAGATGCGGTGAGCGCCACACAGAGAGTCCCAGATGCTGCAGCCCTAGAGAACATGCAGGAGTCCGAAGCCAGGTCAGGCCAGGCAATCAGATCAGAACAGGAACAGGCAGGCTCAGAGGTAGAGAGGCAGAGCAGGTCAGGAAATCAGAAACACTAAGCTAACATTGAAACGCTCACCACTGGCTGGAGGGGGATAAACTGGGGCTGATGACTGGTAGCAGGCAGCTTAAATAGAGGCATGAGCAGGTGGACAAGATGAGCAGTGATGAGAAACTGAGCAGAGTTAGACAGGTGAATGAAATGAGTAATTAAGCCAGTCATCAGTGCCAAGATCATGACAATCCGCTTTTTCATATCATAGTAGCTTCATCTGGTCTGTTCCTGTTTGGCTGTGACTCCATAGAAATGTGCTGCTGCCATCAACAGCTTTGTTTGTAGATGTTGGAGATCGGTCTGTTTTCCAGTGTAGTCCTGTTTCTCTGACTGTGACTAACTTGATGTGCTCTCTTCTTCCTCTGACATGGGAGCTGGCTCGGAGCTCGTCTGCCTGGCTGTGTGTTTCCTGGACAGGAAACTGTGGAGCTGGTTGACAGTTGCATTTTGTATCTATGCTTCTTTTTCTATGTCTGCTTCTGTCTCCTTGAACCCCAGTTGGCCTCAGCAGATGGCCGCTCACACTGAGCCTGGTTCTGCTGGAGGTTTCTTCCTGTTAAAAGGGAGTTTTTCCTCTCCACTGTCGCTAAAATCATGCTTAGTGTGAGGGATTGCTGAAGAGTCAATGAGTCAATACAATCAATTGGTTTTCCCTAGATGGAAAACTTTGAATTATTCTGACTGGTGAACTTTAAAGCGCCTTGAGATGACATGTGTTGTGA